TATCTATTATGCACATAATAAAAAATTATAAAAATTTTTTTCTTATGGAAAATATGAGAAAAAAACGCGAATTGATGGCCTTTGATGTCAAAGTATTTTATTGTAAAAAATCTATTGGTCAACATTTTATTGATTATTTAGGTCCTAATTATTATAATGCAATGCCTTTACACATAAAAAAAATTATCTACTACTCAATTGGGAATCTTAGAATTACGTGCATTAAAAAACAACTGAACTCATGGTTATTTTCACTGATAGTTGTAGAAAATAAATAAATAAATTTTAAATTATATATAATTATGTGTGGAATAAGATATGAAACATTGAATATCAATTATGAAATGTATTATGTTACTGTATTCTATTTGTCTTGTAATTTGAATTAGATTTATTTGTATATAATTTTGTCTATTATGTAATGTAACTCTCTACCACCAACACAAGCATTGTGCTTAAAGGAGGTAGATACTTTATTGTAAACATTTTAATAATATGTCAAACATCTTATTTATATTTACAATAAAAATTTTCAAAAAAAAAAAAAAAAAAAGGTAGCTTGGTACACGTTGTCAAAGTAATATCAACTAATACAGTAATAATTAATATTACAACCCATTCACAGTTGCAATGGTTCATACTCCACTGAGAACTACTGACGCAGAACTCTCGCGTGCATAAAATATATAATATTATTTATGTTACGGTCCAAGTGTAAAAATGCTCATTGTAAACACTATCCTGGCATCGTATACAATGTCTGAGTTCTTTGATCCGTGTGGATAAATGATATACATAGACCAAACATTTTATACGATTTCCTACAGCACTGCAGGGAGTACCAAGTGGATAAAATGATACTACAGTGCGCTGAACGTTTTGTGATTTATTGAAGTTGATTGACATTTATAAATGTATTAAAAGCTGATCCTGCACATCATTGTCCGTAATAATTAAATGCTCGTGGATTTACCCATTCTCCAAGCTCCGTTAAATGTAAGCTGCATTGTAATACAGTTCTTTAGGTTATTTTGACCAAATATAAAATAGGTACAGGTAGGTCTAAAATTATATCCAATCATAATAATAGCTACTTTTTATTTTCTTTAACCGCTGGAAACAACCTAAAACAAAAAAAAAAAATGACAGTTTTTCGTGAATCAAGTGTATGTATTAAAAATTTGTGTTCAAAAGTAAGAAGTACAAAATGTAAGCAAGTAATAAAAAGTAGCCTATGGTCTATGGCCTACAGATCGTCCTACACTTACTCATGAAAATGTTATAAAATCGGTCGAAAACTGTATGTTTGCAGTCTTTGAATTTTATATAGTAGATGAATTTAATATTTGTTTACTATAGGCATGGTCAGTGACAAATTAAATCATTTTAGTGGATTTACCCTGTCTTAAACTTCCTTAAATGTAAAATACAAATATTTTAAAGACATTTGATTGGGTGGTTTTTGGCCAAAATATATTATAAAATACAGGTCTAAAATGATATCTAATATTATAAAAAATTGTTTTTTCTGCAGCTAGCGGAAACCCTTTAAAAAACCAAAAAATATTCGTTTTTGGTAAGGCAACAAATCATTGGCTGAGTCACTAATTAAATACAAAAACAAAACATTTGGCTTAAAGGTATAGGTTGTATCAAATTTTAGAGCCCGGGTATATACGTGTTGGCACGCATCCCACTCCCCCCCCCTAAACGGGAAAGATTATGAGAGACAAACCTCGGACTTCTTAAAAGAACAGAGCTTTCTATACACACATATTATAGTGCATATTATTATTAGGTATAAAAAACCATAAAATGCAACACAACATTTTTCCTCTATGAGGAAAATCTGTAATTCATAAATATCATGTTTTTGTTAATAAGTAACCACGGTGACAACAAAAACAGTGCCCGAAAACATAACATTTATGATGAAATCATTTATAGCGACCACCCGCGGTATTGGATGGGCATAATAAGTGTACAGTATTTACAAACAAAAATCCACTATTATGTTGTAAGAAAGAAGCACTTGGAATATCAGAGATGACATTTTATATTTTATTTTCGTTGATCGGACGATCGTGTTACGCGACGTATATCGCCTAACGAGGAGCCTTGGGCATTGGGCAAGCGGCGTGGAACTCTTCGAGTATTAAGTATAAACATTATATAGACGAGCACAGACGGACCGTGAATGAAACGATAGATATTTTTCTTTGTTCCACCCGGTTCGCCATATAGTACGTACGCGTTTTGCACGATGAGTATACTTATTTACGCCGTTTTCTCCGGCACATTAAAACCCGCCAACTCCGTCGTACACCATACAGACACACACTCGCGTCACGCCTTGTGAATAAGCGGTCCCGGCACGTTGTGTGCGTCTTATAAATAATTGTAATAATAACATTTTGCATTTTGTGGGGCGTACCTAAGCTCGTTTAGTGGTATTCGTACAGCTCTATAATGGCCGAACAGCGGACGCGGTCACTGGACGATATTATATACAGTATACACACACATAGGAGGCCGAAGGTTATAACTTATAAGTGAGCTGCAGCAGATTTCGCGGTTAGTCCTGTAAAGCGGCTTTACAAAATCGAAGCGGGAGTGATGGGGTGGGGATCAGTAGGTACTTAACATTAAAATACAGTTGCAATCAACGTTAAATCAACGTTTCAATCTCCGTAGCCGGAAAAGTGAAAAATTTAGACCTACTGTGACTCACGCTGCTGAAAATAAAATATCTAACTAATTAACTTGATTCCATCTATATAGGTACTAGTCTCATAAGTAGGCACCTACTCACGCATATTTTACGCATTTATGTAGATTTTAATTTTATAATCTGTAGTATAATAATTACTACACAGTGGCCAGTAATGTAATTTATTTTGAGTTTCATCATAGGCTAAACAAATAGTCAATAAAATGTCAAATGGCGACAACATTTTTGAATAAGTATTTTATTTAAAAGGTCATTAATAATCCGGATATTTATCCAATACTCTCCTCTAATTTTATATTTATAATAATATTTACAATAGGCATGGACAATTAAGGTGTATTAAACAGTCTTAATATTTTAATTTTTTTTATATTGGACAAATTTTATACATTCATATTTCGCGCATTTTATTTATCTTTATATTATAGCTTATCTTGAATGGGTAGCGTTAATAGTTCATATTTACTATTTTAATTTATTATTTTTAAACATTACTTTCGTGTCGTTTCTAATCAAACTTGTAAACTCCCACAAGTGGTAACATATATGTATGAGGTAAACATTATACATTTGGTGGTAATGATAATCGATCCTTTTCTATAGTTTTGACGGAAACGATAATGCTGGCGGAAACAGATTTTTTTGCGGAACCGATGCATGCCCCCGCACAAATGCACAATGTTTTGATATTACTCTATAGACTATAACTATCTAAACTTTTAGTAATTATTTAAAAAGCTATTTATTAACTATTTATTTTATATTTATACATAAACATTTCAAGGAAAGTATTTCACGCTACTGTTTATTAAATTAAAATAAAGAAGTCATAAAAAAAAATTAAAAAATCATTAAAATCTGATTTCTGATAGCATTTAAGAAGATATTAATAACACTGACATCTGAATAAGTCTGCAGATACTATTAGTATACTACAGCTATATAGTATAGTATTTTATATAAAAAGTTTGTATTACCTAAGTGCATTGTGGTGTCTATAATCTATACATATATGCATACCTATTACACCTATTTATGTTAATAATTAATATTTTATATGCATTTAATTTATTATAAGTATACCTACAGGTAATACATTTTCCACACCTCAGAGACACAGACCTGCATCCTGCACGTTTTGCTTCACTCGGCAGGCTGATGTACCGAGTGGCTTGTTTAGGTTAGGAAGACCTATTTACCTATACACATAAGACAGCAGTAAGACGAATGATTGTAATATTGTATCACTAGTCATCACAGGACACTCCTTAAGTACCTAGTACTAAAAAATATTAAAAATTTAAAAAACTGGTCTTCAGGTTTATTTAAAAATTCCAAAAATCAGTACCCATTTAATTAAATTCATTATTAAATGAAACAAGCGGGGATGAGCATACTTAGTGAATCGCCCTGTATTTATGTTGCGTTGTAACTATACAATAATTATCATAATATGTTGGGAAAAAGTACGGTGAACACAATATACATGCATTATATTATCACAACGGACGTTAGATATCCATTAAAACGGACAGTCGTACCTACTGTTTTACTGGTGCCTGTTGGTAAAAAGCAGGATGAGTCACACTTCGAGTGCAGCCCGCACATAGCACAATAACACACGCATTCGTCCAGGACACACAAACATAATGCATATAGGTCCACCGTAGTTCCTGCCACTCCCGGCACCGATTAACAAGTAACAACCGCAGGTACTTGTCGTCCCTATAATATAATAAAATTATAATGATTGTGATGATAACGATTATAACGATAGTGATGAATGATATGATGATAATAATAATAATAATATATTACAGTATTAAACACTGCAGATTCCCACCTATATATAAATAAATATAATATATATGATATTGTCCATCGACCGCTTGGCTGGTTTACGTGAACGTAAAATAATATTTTGTTGGCGGATGGCCCGGTCGTTCAAAAATAAATAAATATAAATAGTAATTACCCGTGAAATATTTAGGTAAATCATAAATCATATAATATTAATTTCAATTTTTTTTCAACAATATGAATGTATCTTATAACACATACTGCAGACAAAGCTGCAGTTACATTATTAAATAGTATAAGTATATTAGTTAAGTATGTGATGACGCAGTGGAGACTGTGGCATGCTTAAACCTGATTTTTTTTTTGTTGAGGTAGGTTTAATATGTTTTAGTTCAAAAAATATTTTGAACATTATATCTAGAAAATGGTGATACAAATTTTTGATTAAAATTGGTCAAGTCGAATTCTCGAATTACAATAAAAACACAACATCAATTTTTTCGAAAACAGTTTTGCATAAATATTCTTTCCATTCTTACATACCAATTTGTATTTTGTTTTTCTCGACTATTTAGAAAAGTACAGGGACTTTTTCTTCAAAAACGAATACAAGCTAAATCTAATTTGCTATCAGACGCCAACCTTGAAGATAAAGATTAAAGCGTTTTTTCTACTATAAAACAAAGCGCATCTTTAAACGCGAAAAAAACATCGTTGAAAAACCATACATCCATTGCTCCACTCAGAATCAAAAATAAAATTGTCGAATGTTGATGCTATTCACATAAAAATGTACATAAATTATGAAATAGGCACTTACTGAAATATCTATTACCTATAATATATTGCCATAAGCGGTTATTTTCAAACATTACATATTGACAGGTGACCCGTTTAAATTTGTTGGTTACAGCAAGTATGGTCTTATCACGTAGCCTTGTTTTACATTTTTGCCGCTACCTTAATGAACAGCATTTTTTCAGCTCTAGAAATACAATGCTCCTTATACAAGTAGTTCATAAACAGTTTAAAAAATATCAAAAATAAATAATTACAATATTTTTTATGAGCGTTTAAGCTTCAAATTTAAAATTCAAATTCAATACAACCCACGCACATATAACATATTGTTCAGTATTGAGTGCCACCCACCTTTTTTAAAATTAAATTATAACTATCAAATTATCTATATTCTATAGCTGTTGGTAACCTATGATTTACTTTTTTTGTGAAATTATTTTTAGGACATAATTCATCTTCGGTGGATTTTTTCCCACTGCACATCCGTGACAAAACATAAAAATCCAGTTCAAACGTTATTACCGAGTGTCCTACACAGATCCACACAATAAACATACCTAGGTGAAGACATTTTTCAAATTATTGTCAGTATTTTTTGTACTACTTAAACTCCTTAACAACACTCCGTTCTACAAAGATACAAACTTTTGTTACTGTAAATTATTTTAATGATTCTAAAAATTTTGATTTCGAATCATAATTCGAACAAGTAGATTTTAAGTTATTTAACTTTGTGTACTAACTACTAAGGATCAGAGGAGTAAACAAAAATTTTCATTGGGAGAATTATATAATTTGATGTATATACATATTACATACGTATATTTATTATTTTCAAGATAAATCACAGGGTAGTGCCATCCGCAATAATATTATTGAAAAAGGTCATCCCCTCTTGTATACGTCCATGATAATGAATTAATGAACCGTTTTAGCTCGTTTTTTTGAATTAATTATGTATGTACATCAACATTTAAAGATGAACTCAAAAATTAAAGAATTTAAAAAAAATTTCCAAGTATATTTAAAAATTCTAAAAACAGAATTTGAATCAATTCATTGTTAAATGGGAGTGTGCATACTTGGTAAATCACCTTTTTAAGTATCCATATAAGAATGTTGGTCTCGTATCATACCTAATGAAAAGAGTAATAATGAGTTGTTAAATTAATACAATTTAACTTATTATTTTGGATATTATCCAACTGTATAATGTTATACAGTGTACAATTTGTGTTTGAAAAATAATTTATCAAAAATAATGCAGCAATGCACTACCCCCCCCCCCCCTAAATAAAAAATAATCAGCAGGGAAGTTCTCAAAAAAAAAAAAATAGCAGAGGAACTCCATTCTCTATAAGCCTGAGTTTTCTACCACCAATTTGAGCACTGATAATAATAGTAAAATAGAAAATGGAAAATAATGTACAAACGGTAGTTAGCTAGGTGGACACCGGGCAGACCGCAGACGGGAGATGGCAGACGGGCGGACACACAGAATATAGGTACTCGTAAAATTTCAATCGTATTAATATTTATTTTTACTTTATACAAAAGTAGCTGGAAAGTAATCATTGTTAATAAATAATAATTAATAGTTAGTGCGAATTATAATGCTATTGAATAATAAATCCGAATAAACGAAACCCACTCGATACATATTATAGGTACCTATTGTCATGTTGGTTTCACGTATATTTGGTTTCCGCATCAATCGTGAAAGAAAAAAGAACGATTATACATTGTATTATAATATATCGTATTAAATGCCTACGTATAATTAGGAACTTTGATACGAACAATAGTACAGTTTCATTGGCTGTCACGATGAAACAATGCGTTACGTATGAAAAACAAAACAAATGAATAAATTAAAATTATTACACAATATAACATAATTGGCATATTGTTATAACGGATTTTGTGACTTTTTTTAGATAAAATAAATAATATTATGTAAAATGCAATTATAACTACATGTATCCAGCAAAAAGAAAAATGTGTTGATAAATCGGTTTAATATCGATTGGAAGACATTGAACAGGGACGTCAATGGGGGGGGGGGGGGGGGAGAGGGGTGCAGGTAGTATATTTGCACCAAATTATTTTTAAACGCCTTCTTTGGCCGTCAATAATAATATTTATAGTGATATATATTGATCATATTATATACCATGTGGCATGTATATGATCTAAGCTATAATTCGCATAAGAATGAGTGTGTGACGGCCCGCTCTTGATATAGTAGCCGAAGTGCATAGATTGTAATTTGTCAGTCTGCGCAATAATGAAATATTTAAAATGTTGGGCCAAACACGCCTTTATTGGTAAATAGCTATAATAGTCAGCTTGTAGACTGTAGTACAGAACAAAAATATATTAATATTGCTTTTAGACAGTGTCCAGCAAGTAAAATCCCCCCCCCCCCTACCGATAGATCAAGTTGTATAAAATTGTGTTCTTAGTGTTAGGTCATAAGAAGGAAATATGAACATATAGCGGGTAAGTGAGTGTTACTCAGCTTTTCAGTAGGTTACAAGTGGATCACGATAACGGATGGTGTTAAATTTGAATTTAATTATATCATATCATTATGTAATGTATACCCAAAACGTTTCTGAGCCGACACCGTTTGTCAGCCTAAGATATTTTATATTATATATTTTAAATTGTTATTATTAATACGATAGCCGAGCAAGAAGGGATCAATTTTTTTACCTTATACGCCTATATGTGTTGATTGCTGAGCGTACGTATACCCACAGACCTTATACTACTAGACAAGCAGAGTGTAAGCGGGAAGTAGGGTTTATTATGTATTCTTACAATTATTAATAATATTTTACATTCTTAAGATCTAGTAAAATTAATTTAACATTGATTTTAAATTAAATTTGAAGTTAATACACTTTATAATCATCGCTCATCTCATACATAACTACCTATTATACTAGATAGCTGTCTTCACAGTTAATATACCAAACGGACAAAGCCAAGCACCATTAGCCAATCAAAAACAGAAATCATGCAAATTCATTATAACAGGTTCACGCTGAAAAGGAAAAACAGTACATTGTACAAAATATTTATTAGGTTGAACCATAAAATATAAATAAATAATCAAATAAATTATGAATTATTATAAATAAATTTTGTTCCATTATGTTATATATTATACCTAACAAAAAAAATATAATGTCCTCATAATCATTAATTTATTATTTACCTTTTTTTACTTCCTATCTGTATCATTGAAAGGCCTTTTCTGTGTAGCAATTAAGTTACTATAAAGTTTTTTTATTCTAATATAAGTTCTTTGAAGGACAAATGATTTAATAAAATCTTCAGGTATGTCATAATATTTTTCTTAGTCAGCTTTGTTAGTCTTTTGACATTATTAGCATCAGGATTAATTTTGTCCATGTGAAACTTTTTGAACGTATTTTCAAAAACCTTAGCTTTTTCAACCCGATTTGCTGTTAGTTCTGTTAAACCTCCATACGATAAATGTTGTAGCCAACTTGGTGTACTATAAGAATGATCAAATTTTTCTTCTTCGTTTGGTGTTTCAAAATTATTTTGAGATGATTCACTAGGTGTTAAACTTTTATCTGACGATTCATCATAATTTTCATGATTATTTATTTTAATACCAGCAGTCCCTAAAAAATTTGCTGCTAGGTATTCTTCTTCATTTTTGTTATTGTGTTTCATTTCAATATTAAGTTTGTCTTGTAGAATTCCAGGATTTTTTCCAAGAATGATTATACTTATTCTGTACAATGCATTCAATGACGTTAGTACCTACATCTCCTCGACTTTGAACAGTAAAAATAAACCTTTTAAGGCTGTTTCAGTTTAGCCTATGTGTAAGTATATTATAATCTATGTTATATTTCTGTTTCAGATCTTTGTTCTGTAATTTAGTTGATTTTATAGAGATCAAAATTTATTTTTGGAAATTATGCAATGTGATTTTTCCATTACATTTCATTGAATATATACATATCGATTACATATTGATATTATGTAGATATTAATTCATACATTTTATCTAAACATTTATTTTGTTTTTCTAGATTTAAGCCATAAACCGTATTATACTTTTACATGGTGTTTCGGTAGGTGTACATGACTTCATAATGTCATACCTATAACTTATTACTTCAATAAATGTTCCTGTATTTTCAGATATTTTATTAGATCCAGGCTTGTAATGGCATAAAGCTGTTGCGACACTCTGAGATAGTAGTTGGGCTGCTAATTCCAAATTTTGCCCACCAGCATTTACACATTCTATATGTTTTTCAGATAATTTATGAAAAGTAGAAATGTCTGATTTAATTATTTTTAATAACTCTTTTTACAGTGTTGAATTTACATATGAACCATCTGAAGGAATAAAACCTGCCACTATTAGCCAATTGCCAATTTGTTTTAAAAGATGAGGATCGTCTGCAAATAAATACATTTTATCATCTATGAAAGGATGTAAAAAATAATTGTTGTCAATTGATAGATTTAATTTTTCCCGTAGGCCTATATTAGCACCTCCGCTATCAGATACGAAAACAACAATTTTATATGAATTATCATGTAATGTAGATATCACTTCATAAAATATTTCTGGTGTTATGATTTGATCAAAGTTCACATAAATAGATTGTTTACAATTTTTAAACATGCTTCTAACCAAAATTACTTGCATTTGACAATCTGGCCCAATTATTTGATTATTTTTTTTGTCATTCAAAAGCCGTTTTTATTTTCATTTCATCATATTGAATTACACATAATTTGTCTAACTTATTAAAGTTCAGTGCTGCTATTTTCATTGTTCTAAACTCTTAAGATATCCAATAAAATTCCTTGACGAAAATTCAATCTTGAATCCCATTTCACTAACGTTAAAAAATATGGAAGTGAATAATGTAATTTATTTCTCAGATAAATAAAACACCTTTTGCTTAGGTATCTTATTGTAAAAGCTTTCGATATATCATCTGTGCCCCAGTTAACTTTTTTTTGTTGTTTTGTTATTTTTTTCATAGTCATCGAGTAGTTTGCTATACATATCTTTAATTGATTCTTCAATAACAGAATGTACCTCTATGGGTGATTGATTCGTCTTCAATTTTTTGAGTTGGTGAGATAAAATTTCTAACAATTTTTCCATTTTCACGTTTATTTGCACGTTTCCTTGATGTCACTTGTGTGGAAGTAGCTGAAGAACATTCTTTCAGACATTGTTTAGGAATAGCTATAAAATATAAAGATATAATATAATTAGTACTAATGTGTACATTGAATATAATGAAACATTAACATATTAACACTATGGTAAAATTACAAAAAAATTGTAAAGTTTAAAAATGATGAAGTGTTAATATGAAAAATGATCATTACCTTGAGGTTTTAATTTCCTTTTTTTGATTTTTCGAAAATCCTCTTATAAAAAATGAATGCTACAAACTGTACTAGTTTTTGGATTCCATGTGTCTTTTTGTCAAGCCTTAACCCAAAGATTACACAATTTTTTACGTTGAAGAAATGTATGAAATTAAATTTTATTAAGGTCTTTTTTCTTAGTCACTTGCAAACTATTAAAACATAAAGCTACAGCACACCTAGTACCTGGTATCTATATCATTAATTAATAAAAGTATATAATGACATAATAATAATAATAATATACTATATTCCTAACCAGTTGACCCTATGTGACACGACACATATATGTCATACAATAATATATTAATTTAATATTAAAGATGTTTTTCATTAAAAAAGATAAATATTGAAGTCAGAAACTGACGGCTGCTTGAAAAAACGTTAAACAAACACGTCAGACATTAACACAAGTTGCAGCATTAAGTAATATAACTCTAAGTTACAAAACATCAGTTTATTATGATACTAACTTATTATATTGATACTACAGGTCTATTATGGCCCCTTTGTGATACAATTCTTTGACCGTTTATTATATTAGCCGTGATACCAGTATGTGTTACTCCGCCTAAAAAATGCATAACATAACACAATATACGTTTGAATAATCCATTTAAATCTGTCATGTTTAGATTTAATAAAATTTAAAATCATAGCTAATAAGTTTAGTTTTTTATGTAAGCCCACAGATATATAACTATAACGGACATATTTATATAATAAAAATATAGATATCTGTGTATAATCTTACCATTATCAACATAAATAATAGTATATTCAAGGATAGGACCATAGTAAAATGATGATAGTTTAGGAGCCTCCTAATTTGAGTACCGTTTAAAACATTTTTAAAATCATGATACTGACAGCAATTTTACATTTAAATTACGGTTGTATCACATCCTCTTAACAGTCTTAATTACTTACCAATTACAATAATTCATTAAGCATTATTTCAATACTTTTATTTTATTTATTTATTTACAGGCTGAGAACCCAACAGATTAAAGTAAATCAATGAATTATTGATTGTGCAAAGTGACTGTACAAAATTGAGAAACATTTTCTGGCAAAAGGTTTGAGTCCTCTAATGTTTTAATTAAATCTTGATACGTTTTTACTTTCTTTGTCAATCTTCGATTTATTTGTTCAACTGTATTCAGTTTTTTTCTGATGTCATCGTACTTTTTTTTGGCAAATGCTAGATGTCTTTTAGTTCTTCTTGGAGTAGAAAAATGTTCTTCTGTTAGGTCATTAAAATACCTGGGATTATCAAATGATAGTTTTCGTATCTGTGGTGTATGAGTAGGTGATATACTGCAATACATAATACGCATATCATAAATTAAAAAAAAAATATTTTTTTGTAGTTACGAGGTACGTACCTTGTGATCAAACTAGTAGAGGTCTCAGATCTTTGAGGTGAGTCAGCTTGGTTCAATTTAAAATTATTATGTGTACTGATATCACTAAACACAAGTGTACAAACATTTTAAATAGGATAACTAAAAATCTATATAAATAGGTAGACATAAAAATCTACTTACGTTTTGCTTGAATTTTCAGAATTTGGATCAAGATTTGCACCTAGTTGTATACTTGGTACAGCAGCGGGCATCAAGCGACCATTATCTTTAATATGTTCAGGTAAAAAGTGTTTACTACAAACTTTGTAAGATACGAGATGTTTTGTAATTGAACAATTTTTCATCCATTTAGTTTTTAATACTTCATCTGTTGGAAATCTATAATACACACATAGAACATGTTGACTAGGTACTTTTATACACAACACCCCCGCCCAATGATTTTTAAATGTTTAACTCACTTATATAATTTTGTTTTTGATGTGTTATGATAAGTTATGCCACAATTTGGAATTACACATTTATACACCATAATATTTACTTTGAAAATAAATTTTAACTGTCGTATAGACTTATAGTATCCGTAGAACCCGACTCGGCGACGCCGTCGTCAATTTGCTATAGACTTATGCGGCTATGCATACGGTAGCGTGCGTGAAAATTTTGAAAATCAAAATTTTCGAGGAAGAAATTTAAGTGAATCGATGTTTGAATATTCGATACGAGTCGATAGGACCGGTAGGTATTGATTCCCCGTCGATAAGTATCGAATTTTTCTTCTTGAAAACTTTGCCTCCGACCACGATTAGGTGTATTTTAGTATCTAATAATAATATTAAGTTGTAAAATAGTATATTTTATATATAATAATATAATATTTAATATATTACTATCACAGATTAATGTGTTACTATCTTAATAAATTCGTGACTCCGACGATCAGATCACAGAATAACCAGAATGGACACACGCTGAGCACTCAAAAATCTGTTCAACTTTGTGGAATATCAGTGTATCCATGTATATAATAAAAATGTAAAATTCTTTCTGTCTGGTCACACTGATAAGGGTTTGTTTACTAACTTTCGACATCAGCTGTCCATATATCTGCGATTGTTTACAAAACATCAGTTTGACTTTTGCGCTCTTATTTGAAATTAATGTTTTAATTATTTTATTAATTAAGAAATTAAATCAAATTAATCGTAATTTTTGTTTTTTAAATGTATTATTTAATTATTTATTCGTTTTAGAATTTTTTCTAGTGTTAAATTTTTAAATAGAACAATGTTATCTGAAACTAAACGTAAAAATAGGAAATTATCAATTCTAAAACATTTATAATTAATATTATTAAATTTTGTGTCATATTTTACCATTTTATACAACTTTTTAGAATTAATTGACTAAAAAAATTACTAATATGTATAAAGGTATCTACCGTATAAGTACCTACTTAATATTATACAATACACATTTTTTATTTTTGTATATATGTACCTAGGTAGTTGTAACTTGTAAATATATTATATACATGTAATTGTAATAAATTTGTTTAAACCTACAATGTATTTTGAGATTTATTTGTTCAATGCACCTATGATCTAAAATATATATTTCATGATCTACACTTACCTATGCTAGACAAAAAATGTTATGTTATTAATTTAAAATATACATTTTATAATTCAAATAAAAATTAACTAACACAGAAATTGAAAAATCAGTTATTCACTTTACAGAGTACAGACTTCATATTTTGGAACATAAACACAAAAGACACTGAGGCGAGTAAGCAAGTTGCAAACTTGCAACTTACAACTTTATTACTTATTAGGTTAGGCTAAAGCACGATTATAAAGATTCTTTATAATCGTCGTTTAAGGTAATTACTAATTGCCTCTGTTCAGGGAATAACAGTCGCGCTAGAAACAAAGAATAATGGGAATTATCTTTCTACCGGCAGCACTGATATTCCACCAGGTGTTGCAAATCTGTGCCCCATAAGAACCCATGTTAAACTGAAAAGGTGTCTCTTCTGGTTATTCTGTGATCAGATATCAGATATATGATAACAAGTCATAACATTGATAAGAAATTTGGAATAAAATTTACTTATTTTGATTATTTTTTTGCTGAAACATACGTACTTCAACGAGTTAAGAAAGCTGGCGCAAATAAATTTGAGAAAATCATTGGATTTCGAAGTTATAATCCTTTCAAATTTTGTTGTAACAATGTCGAAATCGATGCATCGAAGTTTGGCAAACGAAAGTATAATCGCGGTCATCAGGTGGAGGGTCAGTGTTTATTTGGAGTTGTAGAACCGGAATCCGGAAATATTTTCTCATTCCAGGGGAATACTGAGTTTTTTAAACTCACTATTGACTAGGTATCATTAAAGATTGAATTTTACCTGTCGCTACTTATAAGTGACTACTAACAAAGTGATTATTGTAAGATATGTCAGTGTAGTTACCTATTTTTTTATGATTTTAATATTTATTTTATAATAATAATACTGTTTTAAATTTGAATTTAGAGTCACAGCTGTTTAGACGATGAAGGGTGTGCTCACTTGACAGTGAACCATTCCATTAATTTTAAAGACCCGGAAAGTGATGCTTTTACAGTCATACGAATAGCTTGGAGATTCCCTCCAACAGCATACAAAAGCATTGCTCTTTTGGACCTTGCGGATCACTAATACCATATTCTAAATTCTAAGGACCACGTATAGCTTATAATAGCATTTTACATAAATACTGTTCGACTACTAATAAATTTTACACCAAATTAATACAAAAAAATACATACGTAAAATATTAAAAAAGGTTTTATTTTTATTTATGACAAAAGATTTAAGTTTTAATTAAATTTTAATGTGGTATTTGTTCCTATTTGTTTTGAAGGATTTTGTGCAATTTTGGCTCCAATGTAGTCACTACAAGTCGTAGAGCTTTACTTATTTCTAGCTGATTTCTAGCTATTTTTCTACGAACCACCTAAATTTTCTCGCGGACCACCAGTTGGCAAATTTTAAAACAATTTTATTCTGGATTTGTGACAAAATTTAATTTTTTGAAATAATGCCAAAATAAAATAAAACATATCTTTGACAAAAAAAAACATTGTTGTCATACATTTATCGCTCCACTCAGAATCTAATATAAAGTTGTTGGATGTTGATGCTATTCATATAAAAATATATATAAATTATAAAAATAGGCACCTATAGGAATTACCTATAATATATTACCAGAGACAGTTATTTTCAAACATTATATATTGACAGGTGACCAGTATAGAAATATTAAAATATAGATAAACATAAATTTCAAATAACATAAATTTTAGTCAATTATCAATATAAAAAGTAATGCGTAGTAATTATCAGATAAATTATACAAAAAATATAAAAAAATATGCTTAACTAAACAAAACTGCAAATTCTTTTTTAAACGTATAATTTATAATTCAAAACATATTATAAATCTAATGCTTGAAGAAAATAATTGGTAAATAACAGCCAAAATAATATCTATATTGATATTGAAGCCCTTTAGTAATACTGATATACACATTATACATAGGTACTAAATTTTCCAATCATCACATCAAAAAAAAAAATAAGTATAACCAGTAGCATAATTTTTTTTAAGGAGGCAAATGTATCATTTTGCCCCCCCCCCCCTTAGATATTCCAACATTTTTTAATAAACACTTATATGTACTTATACTTAATATTATTTATCAACTTGCTTACCTACAGGCTACAACCTACTTTACGTGCAATTTGTTTCTAAACCATAAAATGTGTCTTAACTCTTAAGAGTAAAAACAAACAATTAGGTATATAATGCATAATATATCAAATAAAAATATGATATAATGTTATAGCGATTAGTATTTATTACACATTACAATTATCACAAATACTTTTATTTGAAACAATTTACAATGTCACCTTACACTTCCTCTTAACAAAATACTGTCAAATGGGCTTACTTGGGGCAGTTTTGAAATTATATTGTAAATAACATTAAGATTAATTGATCTAGATGTACTTCAATGTGACATTTTTTTTATGGTTAAGGTTTAGTCTATTAATTTCTGTCACAATTGAACCATACAAATATTATTCCTTCTATTTTAACCAACTTGGGACACAGTTTTAAATTTTTATGAAATAAAAGAAAATTTTCTGAGTTTAACAAACATATTTTGTAACTGGTTAATATGTATTAACATATAAAGAAAAACAATAAGATTCTTATTCTTATAATAGTCAACAATTTCATCCAATATAAATCATCTGTAAAAAAGTAAAAGTATAACTATAGGTTATAAGTTTAGACTAAATTCTACTAAGGTTAGTCTTGTTCAGATGGAATGAACTCGCTTATCCTAAGTTAAACTTGCACCATGGTTGAATAATAGTGTCCCAAGTTGAACTAAAAATGTAAAACGTAATTTATAGAAATGTATACAGAATTATAATAATTTATGATGTAGAGTAGAGAATTTTACACACATCGGAACATATTTTTTATTATCAATTTGTATATAAGACATCTTATTCAACGAATATTAATATAAGTTTTCGGACGTAAGCAAAACAACAGATATTAAACATAAAATTGATACCTATATAGTGTGAAATTTGATGCTGCCATTAAACGTTGACCCTACCACAGTGATTCAAAATATTGTTAAGAAAGATAACAACACAATATTTGTTTCACATTAATTAAGTAAGAAGAGACCGTTATGGAGGTAAAACTATAAAATTATATTTTTGCCCCAAATTGGCCCGCTGGACGGTACTTAACAGGACTCTTCACGGGAATTTGTTGTCCCCGTCTGACAATAGTGCGTAACATAATACGACAAATTTCTGCTCAGCAGATCACTTAGCTCCGTAAGTTTAAAAACTAAAGTGAATCGACCCACCAGGAAACTTAATGGTAATATCTTTATCTGTGTTAGTACGTAGGTTTTTTACGATACTTCAATTTTTTAGCTAATTTCGCGTATAATGTATATAAAACAACTCGTAAATTAATAATGCTTATTACTCAAAAATTTAAAAATAATTGTTTAATATTTAAATACCTAACTATTACTATTTTAATAACTTAAAAAACTAAACTATCGTAAAAAATCCCCCAAACGAACACAGTTAATATTCTTACCGTCAAGTTTAGTGATGGGTCGATTCACTCTACTTTTTAAACCAACTGAACTAAACAGTAAACGCAACTGTTTATCCGGCAAATCTGACAATTTTTCTTCTGAATACACACTTGTAAGGCGGAGACAACAAATGCCAGTGTAGCGTCCTCTTAAAGAATATACTCAGAATTAATTTCGATTAAATTCGATATGATGTAAAATATATTTGCATGTCTATCAAATATGGGAGCTTACCTAGGTAAATATGAGTATACCTAAAAGGATATGTGAAAATTGAAAGTGAAACTAATGGTGATCTATTAAATATGTAAATAGGTAGATAGCAAAAAAGTGTTTACTTCAAAGGGAACATAATTGAAAAACTATAAATGACAAATTAAACACTCCTGATTCTTCACTATTCACTCAAAGCTTAGAATCGGTAAGTAGGTACTGATCTATGAAATAAAAATATAACACAGACAAACCAGAGACAATTTAATAAATATAATAATTATATAATTCATGTACAGAACATACGCGCAAAGACATAATATTCTTGGCGCAAGACCGTTTTTCATTATTACATAAATAAATAAAATATATAACTGATGAAAAAGAAATATTGCAACAATTTTCAATGGACATTACGTAAAATAAATACAATAATAAGTCAAATGAATGGCTTACGTATTGTAATTAAAATTGAAATAATAAAAGTAATGGGTAGATATTATTATTAATGAATGGGTAGTTAAACAACACATTAATAAAAAAAAAAATTTTAAAAATTTCATTAATCCAATAATTCTATATTTTAATTGTCACTGATCAATGAAAAACATTGATTAATGATGCTAAACTAAAATTTAATGCAAAATATAATTGCTGTTATTCAACATAATACCCATCTATAATATATAGGTCATAGGTACATGGGCATATTACTATATACCAGCTGATAATTTTATCATGAACCACTCATTATTTTAAAAAGTATTGATGTTTGTGAAAAAAAAATTATATGGTTTCTTGTCTTTAAAAAACAACATATTTTTAATCATTTTTAAGTTATAAGACTTAGTAATTAACTAATTTAAACTTTTTGAATGACGACATACAGTTTAAATTTCATGTTCCTAAGCAGAATATTTTTCCGAGTATTTCTATACATAAAAATCGAATTTATAGGATTAGTAGTTATTATGAGCTATAAGTAACTATTTGAATATTTAAAGTTTGATGAGTAGATTGAAGTGGTACGCGTATGATTACCCCAAAAAATGTCAGTCTTAACTTAACTTTAAATAGTTACTTATAACTTAGCATGCATAAACTACTCGCCTAAATTCGATTTGTATGTATCAAAATACTCTGCAGAAAAATATTCTTATCAAAACTAAATTGATGAAATTAAAACTGTCTGTTACTCGAAAAAGTGAATAATTAAACATACGTAATTATAAGAATAGAAATTAATATTGAAAAATATAAATTTAAAAAAAAACATTGTTTTATAACAATTTGGAACCATGTAAAAACATATTTTCAAAAACGTTAATACTTTTTGAAATAATGAGAGTTTTACGTTAAATGAATCACTCTGTGTATCGGACTATTAACTAAAAACTGATAAAAAACAATTTAAGTGGGTAACAGAAATTAAATATTATTGACCTACTTCAATAAAATATGAATTATTTTTATATTATTAAAAACATACCATGTCAAATAAATATAAAACGAACGGATGCCCCTATGGATCAATAATTTATAACCAATCATCTCATTGTCATATTACCGCCATTTTTTAAATTATAAGCAATACTGTATGATGTTTAATAAAAAATAGTCATTAGGTAGGTACTGGTATCTGAACTTTTTATGCATCTTCTAAAATTTTAATTATTTTTAAAAAATCTGATCTGCAAAATTGAACAGATATAATATTTTATTTTGTAGTTCGATGTTTATAAAAAATGTTCTTTCTATTTTTAAGGTTTGAAAATCGAATACAACATTTATAATAAGTTAATCGACCTTTATCAAATAAAAAAGTGAAGTGGACAATCAATTACATTTTTTATAAGCGTTTTTTTGATAAGATATTCATCCGTAAGCTCGATTTTTTATGTGATGATTTTCTTATTTTGTTATAATTCAAAAAACGAATAATCGTAGATACTTGACATTTTTTGCTGAGTCTAAATGCTTAAAAATGCAATATAAGGTTTCTCACACATTATTATAATTGAAGTTAAATAAATATTAAAGATACATACATGATTTTTTATTTATAAGAATTTAAAAATCAAATTTCTACAAAATGTATCTAATTTAGGAAATATTAGCAATTTCCGATCATTGTATTGAAGCCATAAGATTTCTAAAAATGTATATGCAATATGAATTTAGAGTGAAGTCTATTATTGAGATCGATGGGGTTACATTTTTAATTTTGCCATCAAAATTCTACAAATTTGATTTAAATTTTTAGAAAAATGTGCAGTAGTGCTTAAAAATATTATTAAATAAAACTGAAAGTTGCCAGGCCGATCTCAAGTGAACTTCACGCTAAACTTAAATTAATTTTCAGAAGTGTTATCGCATGAATGTAATATAACGATCGGACTGATTGAATTAAAAACAGTAGTTTTTGACTCGAATCATGAACAGTGGTAATCGTAATTTGTAATCGACTATTGCGTGCCACGCACAAAAATAAATTGGACAGGTGTGATGGAAGGTGTACAATACAACACTAATATTCATTTGCTACGTATCTGACGTGTAATAGAGACTTAATTTCAATTTTATACTCATTTTAGTTTTTTTAAGTCTCTAGAAGTGTTAGTTGAAAACAAATATATCTAATAAACTAATAACTAATTTAATAAAAACACATAATGGGAAAGGAAATTAACTTTCTGTACTTCAAGTATAAAATAAATGGTTTATAATATTTCAATAGTCTATATTAGGCATGTCTAACTCAAACTATCAACTGTGCCAGATTGCACATACAAATGTATCGAAAATTAAAATATTTTAAATTGTATTCATTTCTTACAGCACTTAAATAATTACAGTTTATCAGAAAATAACACAATAAATAACATAATGTTTACCTCTCACTCACATAGTTGTGACACAAAAAGAAAATTGTACAATTTTTTTTTTCCACTTATTGTCTATTATAGTTGCTGCTGAAGGCTTTAAAATAATATGCATTGGGTAACATATTTGACATGCCCTGGTCTATGTTTAATATTTTATGTGATTCAATAAAGAATCTTTACTTAATTTTAATTTGTTTATAAAAAAATATTTAACAATGTAAAACTTTATTTTAATTTACATACAAAATATAATTATTTGATTATGAATTTAAATAAGTGGTTTAATATTGTTGACATTATACGATTCGAAAAAATATATATTAATAGCAACTATAATTATTTAGATTGAACAATTAAATATAAAACAACAATTTATCATTTACTAAAATTTAGTTGTAACTATTAAGCCTCTATCATCAAAAAAAGGCGTTTTTTGTTGAACTTGTTTATTATTTTTACCAAAAAAGGAAGTAATAGGTACTGATTTTTTGTCTTCATCCTCTTCTTCGTCAGACCTATACAAAATAATAAATATTTTATTAAAAAATGTTCAAATTGTTTCATTTTTCAGTTTGTTGCCATAAAAACCAAACCAAACACTAATTATAGGATAGTATTAAACATAATAAATTAAACATTTCACAATATAATAATGCATCTACTTACCAGTCTACTTGTGCAGCATTATTTTTTAGTACCAGTTCTGCTGTAGACCAAGAAAATCGTACAATACTAGGAAATCCAAAAACTGGATCTATATTTTTCATTAAATATTCTTTTGTTACAGGATCTAGGCATTAAAAAATATATTAAATGTAACATTTTGTTTTTGCATTTTAAACTAATAGTCAAACGACCATTGGTTATAATAATTATTTTGTTTTACCATTTGGGTATCCGCTTCCCCAATTTGAATCGACATCTTCTCCAGGTCTTTCAACAAATTTCCAATTTTTTAATGCAGCATCACGAGTTACTTTGGCACAAATACTGGCCGCACTTACAATTGGAAACAAAGAATCAGCTTTTTTAGATACTGTGATTTTTAGTTGAGGGAATATTGATAGTAATTTTTCCTAAAAAATAAAATAAAAGTTTATACTAAAGGTTTTTATAAATAATATTATGCATATTTAAGTAACAATAAATCATTTCCTCAATAATAAATATATTCAAATAATTTTAGTCACACAAATATTCCCCAATCTTTAGTAACAATAAAATAATTTATGAACATATTCTACATTTTAATATAGATGTATCGATAATATTTGTTATTCATTTATAAAATAGAATTCCTAAAATGTTATGTTTAGTGTTTACTTCAATAATATTCATTAAAAGTGTAAAATTGTTATTTGATTTATACTTTTATACAACTAATTTGTCACTAACAGTAATTTACTTTGATTAGTTAGGATGACGTTTAAAACGACACCAGCAAATGTGTAGGACTACAACTGAGTCAGTGTTGAGAGTGTCTAGATCAGAAATGGTGGTGCCACCACTTGTCGCTTGTTTTTGTTTTAAATTAATGGAATTTTGGTTCCAAGAGTTTTTACTATTTACAAGCATATAAACATAATATTGAAAATGTATAGTACACATTTTATACTAATAAAACAGCAATTTTAGAACATATACTATTATGTGCTTAAGTTTTTTTTAGTATTCATGCATGTTAAAAATAAAAACTAATAATATTCTTACTTGGTACTTTTCAGGTGGTCCAACAGTATCTACAAATACTTCACAAATATTTACTCCTCTATCCAAAACTCGTTGTATTAAACCAATAGCAGCATTATGTGAAATTTCGTTCAAAGAACACTTTTGCCTAGTACAAAATAATATAAAAAAGTTGATGAATATGAATGTACAACAGATATATTAATTCATAAGCAATGTTATTATTTTTTTTTGATGATATGGATGCAAACAAATTTATTTGTTAAAGGCATATCCAACTTCTCCGGCATTAATTATGTCCTCTTTTAAATTTTAAAATATTAAGCAAATAGAACATAAATTGGTAAAGTATGTTAAATAATTTATATTTTCTAGTCTTAATAACTAATAAAAACACTAGTAGTATGGCCTACATTAAATGCATATCATTGGTACAAAATTTAAAAAATGATTAAATCCCATGTAAATACAATACCTCCTAAAGCTACAATTGCTTATTGTAGTTGGTGATATAATGTGTACAGCCCATCCAAGTATTTCAGATTGTTTGGTTATTCCATCAAAGATATTATCTCGAGCTTGTTCAGACAAAACTTTAGAATCAGCACATCCTAATGTCTTAAGTATAGCTTGATTATCTACTGAGCAGTAAGACGTACCATACACCATTGGACCTAGACAAAAATACATTATTAAACAAAATTCAAAACAGTAGTTATAAACAATTTTTATAAATACTAGCTTAGGTACTATTGTAATATTATTTAAATCAATGGTATACTGTAAAGTAATCAAGTATATGGAGATAATTATAACATAATATATTAGTTTTTAACTTAATTTAACACATGAATCAACATTTTGACTTGAAAATTTATGTAAGATAATATTTGAGCAATAACAGGGAAATAATGATTTTAAATTAAATATAATATGTAACCTGTTATATCCATTTTAAACAGTACCAACTAATATCTTATGTACGAGTAATAGGTTTGACCCGTATTGTTAAGTAAAATATCAAGTATATGTGTTTATGGGCAATGTATAAAATAGTTAAATGCATCAATGACCTATGAGAATGTAGAAATCATAACATATGAATCGGGATATCTAATATAATTTATACAGTAACCAAAATATGGTGTACAAATAGAACAATGTGAACAATGTATATTGAAAATTAGGTAGGCATTTTTTTTTTGTTTAGTGAAAGTCTTTCTGTGGGATGTGTATACATTAATTTTCCAAAACCTTTAATTTCAACATTAAATTTAGGTATAGTAAAGGCATTAACTAAGATACATTTGTATTATTTTAATACATACCAAGGACAGGACCACGGCCAGCTTCGTCGATTCCCAGAATACATTTCTCAGTTTTCGTTGTTTCGGGCAAATCAGATTCAATGCGAACATCGAATGAATTATTTTCAGACGAAATCGCCGACTTCACATCAGAAATGGTAGAGCAAACTTTATAGTTGCTGTTCATTATGATTTACAAGTTTAATCTAGATTTAATAAATCGTATATTTATTCTTCAATATAGGCAGTACCTATCAGGTGAAGTGGTAACAATAAAACAAATTCTTATAACGTGTCTAGCTCCCAAAAGTAAAGAATATTTTTTCAATGGAGAACAGACAACCGTCAATCTTATAGAAGTCTATAATTTTAGTGTGATCAATGAACAAACAAGACGCGACAAACGACAACTGACAAGTGAATAACTGACAAGCAGTGAGTTAACACCAAGCAGTAGACGACAACAAGTGTTAACAAATAACAACAAACATTATATTATGATTAATATTAATGTTCGTAATTCGTATTTTGTACTTTGTTTACAGAACCAAGTTTGTTATCTTAACCTAAAATTAAAATTTAAGAGGGAAGTCATCGCATTGGTCGAACAATATCGTCATATCACATAATTGATAAGGTAGCAGATTATTGATAAAAAAAGCGGATGCTTTAAATGAAATATTACATTATTTACATCAAATCGTAATGGAACGGTGCCACTACTGACCTATTGCCCCGTAGGTATAAATTCCAACAAAAAGATAAACGATTTCTAATTCTCTCGTTAGTGTCGGAGACGTGTTCACGGTGTCTTCTGCTTATTATGCTACGAGCCTACGACCAGTGTCGTCCGTCCTAGTGTGCAGTCAACACCAGTCAATAAGTTCTTCTCAAACGGATTTCGATTTTTTTTTTCTGAGGTATGATGTTTTGTATTTTGTTTCTTTGGTAAGACATACACAACACAATAAGAACTATAATTTTCAAGCACGGCCGTAGGGTCTACTTTTTATTTTTAATGTTATTTTCTATCCTCTAGGTAGGCATAAAAATGATTTAACTAACATTGTAGGTTTATCTAGGTAAAATTGTATGTCATAAGATTCCAATAGTTTATTTAAATGTCAAATAATAATTTGACGTTGTTAGTTAATAAAAGTATTTTCTATTTAGAATGTGGTTATACCTAGATGTATAGATATCTAGTTAATAGTTACTTGATGATATAGTTTTTAAATTAACCCAATCAAAGAATTAAAAACATTTAATGTCTGTAAGTAGATATTCAATATAATTATATAAATAGGTACAATTTAAACAACATAATTACTATTTTTGAAGTGTCTACACATCATTTATGACCAAGGATCAATCATTACATAATAGTTAATAGGTGTAACTACTAATAAATTATGGTTCTAGTTTTTTAAAAATAATTTTCATATCTTAATGAGCCTTTTAATTTATTATACTAGATGTTGCTAAATAATTATTCAGTAATCAGATCAATGTAATTTAAAATAAAATATAGTAAAAATAATTAGATGTACCTTTTAATTTTTAACAGGTAGGTGTACTAACTGAAAAAAATCAAGTTGGATAATATGAAATTTCACTCTAATCCAGATATTTGCACAAATTTATCGACTGTGGATTTTATAGTACTAAGTCATAATTATTAGCTCGTAATTTCAAATGTTTATTGGTTTTGTTTGAAACTAATATTTATTTTCATCTATCAATATTAACATATTGTTTCATTTTTGAAACATAAATAAATATATTTTTGCTTTAATATAAGCATGTTTATTTAATTTGATTAAGTCTTGATTGTTTCTATTGTTTTCAATTTAAATTCAGTTCCTGCAAAATTCCTGCAGACATTTATTTATTAGGTGTGCTATAGGAACACACATTGCTACACAATAGTGTATAAAATAGATTTACAACAAATAACTTAATAAATCAAGATTACATTTATGTGTAGGTACTGTTAAAAACAAGTTACATAACAATAGAAAAAGAATAAATCAATAATCTATAGTATCTATATTTATAATCTATACCTACTTTTCTTTTCCAATTACCATAAAATGTGTACTACATTTTGTAACTAAAGCTGTACGTTGCCACAATTACTTTAACAATTTAATTTGTTTGTAAAAATATTATATTATAGTATATCCAATAATATAATTTTAACTGTTTGTTTAATAATATTACTTTAGTTTGATTTAAACTAACAAATATGTAACCTCAGCTATGTGTCAAAACCTCTTACCTAGAACTCTAAAAGTTAAAAAAAAAACTCTCAAGTGAAGTTACAATGTTTTGTTATTAATGTTATAATCGTATTAACTGTAAATGATAAAACACTTATCTCGTTTACTAATTATTGTTATTCATATTAAAATATACTAAATTCATAACTGTATAACAGGGTTGGATGTTTTAAATTGATTTGTTTTAAACACGTGTTTAAAACTTTGTTTTAAAACGCATTTATTAAAATACAAATGTTTTTAAACAATTGTTTAAAACAACTGTTTTTAACATGTTTTTTAAAACACATGTTTTAAAATGTTTTTTAAATCTTAATTTTAAAATTTGGGTTAAAAACTCATTAAATAATAAATATGTAAATTGACATTTTTATTAAAAATTCATTATTTTATAAATAGCAAATAATAACATAATATAACATAATAACATAATATAATTTAGGGCCACTGCCCACTGGTTAAAACTTTTATACTTTATAATAGTATTAGAACAATTGTATTTAATGGTAAACATAAATCATTTTAACTTTTTAAAATACAAGATACTAGTGTCTGACTACTCTGACTAGTGCATAAAAAAAAATTATATATTAATATTAAATAACAAATAATAGTTCTCAATTTAGAGACTTAAAAATGGTGACTATAACAAATAATAGTTCTTAATTTAGAGACTTAAAAATGGTGACTAATTTAGCTGCTTTTTCATTACCTAATCTATTTCTGATGTCTGTGTGAACAAGTCCAAAAGGTGTTGTTAATAGTATTTTATTTAGTTATACAAAAGTTGTTTATTGTATTACATGCCACTGCCACATAATTATAATATACATGTTGTTTTAAATTGTTTAAAAACATATTAAAAAACATGTTTTATTTTGTATTTTAACATATTTTATATCAAGAAAACACAATATGTTTTAAAACAATTAAAAACAATTAAAAACAATAAAAACATGTTTTTTGTTAAATATTATAAAAAAACGTTTTTTACCCAACCCTGCTGTATAAATTATTGTTGTCCTAGGCACATTTTAAAATAGTCTTAAAAATTAAAAATCAACCTAGTATATTCGTACTATATTAGACGTTTAATATACAGCCAATGCGGTTTTATGCAATTTAAAATACATTCATATGGAAATTGATACTTCACACATAAAATAACCTCATAATTTAAATTATATCTTTTGTACAAAAGACAAATCAAGATGAAACTTGAAAAATACAAGCATGTCCTAGTGCTTAAACAAATACTTCACAGTTGTGCGTGAAATCGTTATGATAATAAGTGTTCTTACCAAGAAAAATAAAAAACAACGGATAATTAATCACTGTATTTGATTAAATATATTTATGTCATAATACTCATAATTCTAGTTTTGAGGTACTTACTTTTAATTTTATATTATTTTGTAAAAATGATGCAATTCATACCATAAACTATTGACAACATGATTACATTTTATCAAAAGGTAAAAAAAATATTATAAAATCAAATTTTTTCTTAAATTAAATATTTTAGTGATGTTGTGACTACCATAGAGTCATATTTGATACTATAAAACCCATCTTATGTTTTTTGTATTTTCTGAACAATTTGTAAAAATGTAATTACAAAGTTTTTAGCACGTGGCTGTCACAAATAGGTAAAATATTTGGTTTAAATTTAAGTAATCTACCTTGGGTATATTTTTGTTGTTCTAAAAATAAAAATTGTTAATTACATGTGAATTTAAATAATACGCATATAATAATACGAGTATTTTAGTAATTAATTACTTTGATATAATTGTCAGCAATTACAATTGTATTTTAAAGTAATTATGTCCATTGAATTAGTCTACATTATTGCGTGTTAAATATTTAGAATGAAAAAACCTTCCATGTTTATCGTCTAGTGTCATTTGCAAACGATTTCTTTCTCAGAATATGTTACCAATAAAATGTAGAAATATTGTAATATACTTATTAATGATCATTATACACAGTTGAACAAACATTGTTATTACGCACAAGCACTTCACGTTACTTAAATAATATTTTTATTTATTTGTATTTATTTACCAACAGGTTATATATTATGAAGTTGATTTTTAAGTCACTGGGTACATTACCCTTGCGGCGATTTTTGTCAACCGTACCCAAACCATTAAATCCTGTACAAGAAGCTGCCTTGGAAGAACGCTGTATTCTTGTTGACCAAAATGACCAAGAGAGCGGCTTTGCCAGTAAACGAGACTGTCACAGACTAGTTAACGGAAAAATTCCGTTACACCGTGCATTTAGTGTCTTTTTGTTCAATACCAAGGATGAACTACTATTACAACAGCGTTCATCAACCAAGATCACATTTCCTGATCATTATACAAATTCTTGCTGCAGCCATCCGCTGTACGAGATTGAACATGAGCGCAAAGACTTAGAAGGTGCTAAAGCTGCTGCTTGTCGCAGACTTGTGTTTGAATTAGGAATTCCTACAAGCCAGTGTCAACCTAAGGACTTGCAATATATAACCAGAATAAGGTAATAATAACTTAATTAATACATTCAAAAATTGGTGCCTAACTCGATGCATTTTTTAGGTACATGTCCGAAGGAGACGGGACCTGGGGCGAACATGAAATTGATTACATATTTATTTTACACAAAGATGTTGCTTTAGACCCCAATCCAGATGAAGTGAGTACAGCCCTGTATATTCCCAAAGCAAAAATGAATAAATTCTTAAAGAACTTAAGACATCCAATTACACCATGGTTTAATCTAATTGCACAAAACGAATTGACAAACTGGTGGGACAATTTAAGATCTCTGGAGAAAGTCATGAATCATAAAAAAATTATTAGCTATTAAACAGTCTTTTACTGCGGGAAAATGAATTAATATTGGGACTCTATAAACATTTGTACTGCTTATAGTGTGGAAATTAGATTAAAATTGTTATTAATTTAATTATATTGTGTGTTATGACACTATTGTTTACAAATTAAATACATAAATTTGCTATTCTATTTTTCAACTCATTATGAAATTTCTCCAATGTAAATATAATAAATAAAAAAAATCTAATTTTTAATATTCGGAAATTTTATTAAAACATTTGGTTTGAAAAAAATACGGGTCAATGTTCAAAATTTTATATTACAACAGTTTTTATCATTTATATATATTTGTGTGTTGTTACTTATTATATAATTAGTAAAAATAAATAAATTTTAAATATTGTTACGAAAAAAATGTTTTGTTTTCTTTGAAGAGTATATTGTATTTTACTCTCTTATTGATTTTATAGCATTTTATACTTATTTAAGATGTTACTTATCATAATAAATACCTATGTTTTAAGCTTCTTAAGCTTAACATTGTATATTTTTAGGGAATCACATTTTTGATAAAAATATAAATAAATTATTTTGGTATATCATTGTACGATATATTTTAAATATATCAACCCTTTTTTATTGTTAATAAACATTCATAACTCAAATATGGTTTATTTGTGTAATTTATTATAGAATGATGTTAATTAAAAATTTTTAAGTGTTTGAATACAAATAAATAGTTATATTAAGTGTAGAAAGCAAAAATAAAATAAAATTATATAAATAGTTAACGTAACAAAGAATAATAATTAAAAATAAAATAAAACGATAATGTTCATTTTTACACAGATTTTAGAAGTGATGAAAAACAAACAATAACATTTACCAGAACCTAATTGATGTAATTATGTAATTAAATAAAAATTAAATTATGATAGTATATGTAATTATGTATACATTTTATAATAATATTCCTACTCAGTATGTTTCTTAATGAAAAAATTTGTTTTAACTATGAATCAAGTCATTGTTATTATTTCCCATAAAAATAGTAAAAAAAAGGGATTAAATGAAGTCCATTGTTGAGAATTGTTAAAAAGAAGTGATTATATACTCAAAAATATATAAAAGTTGAAGTAAATTTATTTAAAAAAAAACAATGAACAAACATTACTGAATACATATTTATATAATTTTTAATTTCAAAAGAAAATTAACAATGGCTAGACATATTTACAATATATTTACTAAGTTTATCAACTTTATTTTCAATTTTGTTCTTAACAAAATATAATTATTAATTCCAATATCACAATAGAGAAATACCGCGTTTATAACTCCAGACGAATGAATTCAAGCGATTAGTTTAATAACTTAAGCGATAAATCAATGTTAAATTATTTAAAGACCAGTATATTTTTTTGGTTTTTCTTTTTTTTAATACACAAAAATATATATATATATATAACATACCGTTTTGAATTAGTTATCTTTAATATTTGTTTTCATATGCATATAACTAAACTGAAATCTATTGAAAAAAATCATCCTAAATATTTTACTTTAATTTTAAGTGTTACAACACCAGTACACGACTAGACATTTCATGTTGAATTTGTTAAGCAGCAACCGGATTTTACCAATTAGTTCAATGTGATGGTGATGGATCAGAGACTTTAGGCTGTTTTCTAACATTGGCTGCTGGCTGTGGAATTTGTGATTGCATGACAGCTTGCCTATTGCGGCTGGGCGGAGAAGAATATCTGTGAGGAACACCAATTACATGGTTAGCTGATTGCTGTGGTTGTTGTGGAGGAGGTGGCGATGGTCTACTGTTAGACTGTCGTTGTTTGGTGTCTGGTACTATCGTCTTAGCTAATGCTTGCGATACCTGAGGTTGAGCTACTGTGGCTAATGGCGACTGGTCTTTTTTGGCAGTTATTGTTGCTGGCATGGCTCCATTTGGAGTTAACATAGATAACAATAATTCTTGCATAAAGAAACTACGGTCAGCACGATCTATTTCCAATTTCTGCTGTTCAGATTCATTTAGTGGAGCATCAATATATCTATAAGAAAAAAAAAAGCAATCACGTGTGAATATTTCTAAAAATTATTTGAACTAAAATATTACATAAGATTTTTAACAAAAAAGTTATTCAAGTTTGAAAAACATAAAAATAATGAATTTTGAAACAATAAGAACATTTTTTGTATGATTGATATCAAAATAGTAAAAACGATATTTCACAAATTATGTCCTCAGCTATATTGTAGATCAATTTGGTTGGTGTCTTTACGAATTTATATCTATAGGTTTATGGAGTGGCATCTATAAACCTAATAAAAAGAGTATGTAAGTAGTTTCAGCAGTCATAAGCTCAGCTAGTCGGGTGTTACCAAACTAAATGGTACAAGTGAACAAGAATCTTTTGATTTTACAATATTGTTATAAATGCAACCACTCATTACAGGAGTCCTCCTCACCTGCCTATCTTCCTAAGACATATTTAAGCGGCAAATTATGGTTTTCACTCACACAGAAGCGTATAAGTCCAAAAATGTATAGTTTCTTACAATTTTTTTAATATTAAAATACAAAATAATATTTGACATCGATGCTTATGATTTATCCTAATATTTCCTTCAAAATTTGGATCCCAATAAACATTTAATTAAAATTTATAGGGAAATCTTAAGATCTTATTAAAAATTCTTAAATCTTTTATATAGTTTTAACTTTCAAAAATATTACTTAATACATACTTGATTAGAAATTGTGATGAACTATTACGTGCAGACTGATTTTGGTTAGAGTTTGAATCTACAACTTGAATACTAAGTAAGTTTGATGATGTACCAGCAGCTTGTGTTGGTGCTCCAGATCCAACTATATTATTGTTAGCTAATGATGCAGCTGCTGCTGCAGATGAGCCATGTCCTTGGCGACGAGGTAAACGTTCTAATTGTTGTCTAGCAGCCTATAACCATAAAATATTTTTTATAAAACTGTTGTAATTTTGTACACATTACGTAAATTATCAAAACTTTAAAATGAAACTTTTTATGCAACAAAAATTGAAATTATTACTAATATACAATACCCTGACTTGTTGTCTTTCAAGCTGCAGCTGCATCTGCAACTGTTGCAGCTGCGAAGAAACATTATGAGTGCCTTGTGAGCTGCTTGCTGACGATCCAGGCACACTATTTGATTGTGCTCTACGAACTCCACTTAACTGTGATAATAGCTCAGCAATTGGATCCGAACCATCTCTCGTTCCACCGCTAGAATGCATTTGAAGAATATTAATAACTATTTATTTGAAAAATATTAAAAACATGAATAACTGTTTTTTAAGCATCAACAATTTAATATATGTAATTCAAAAATAGCAAATAATAATGATACAAAAATATCTATAGCAATTAGACACAAATGCATTAGCCAAACTAATAAAAAATGTATTTCTTTATTTTATTTTTAAATTTCAAGCCATAAAAGACTACTGTTTGAATAAATATAATTAAATTGTCCGTACTTTGCTGCCCGGTACCTGAAATTGATTGCTCTTCGAACCCTTGTACTTCCCATACCTCTAGCGGACTGTGGTATACGCCGAACAGAATGTCTTGCAACAGGTTCGTCGTGATAGGTTTAATTAAGGAAAAACATAGAAAAAATAATTAGATTAAGCAGTTAAATAAAAATTTTTTTTTTGGTATGTTTATCACTCCCAACAATATATGGTCAGCCACTCTAGTATTGCACCTCCATAGGGCTCTGCTCTAAAGTCTTTACTCACACCAGCTACTTTCATGCCACTTTCCATTTTGTCTACTCATCTTTTCTTTGGGTTTCCTCTCGCTCTCTTCCCTTTGACATTAATTTCTATAGCCTTAATCACTACCTCTAAATCACCTCATAATTTTAATATTATGCATTGTTTATAATCTTCTAGTAAAGACGATGCAACTTATTGAACAATTATGATTTTTTTTAAAGCATACATCACAATCATACGTTGTTATTAAAAGATAATAAAATTAAAAAATAAAAAGGATATTAAAAATGAAATTAAATCTCTTGGAACACTTGGACTGGCACGATGTTGCATTTGTAAATGAACTGAAAAATCATCAGTTAACAAATTTGGATCACCTCCTGGGTGTGCTGCACAAACTGGACACACCTAAATTAAATATAATAAATAACTAATTTGTATTAACACAACATAACAATACAATAATTGTATAATTCATAATTTATGATAAACAGTATAATACATGTCATTATATTAACACACTTTTTACTTTACTAAGAGACAAAATTATGACATTTAACCATACTTTAAAAACGTGTCCATCATCAAAGGCTGTTTTCACAATTTAGTATGTATCTTTTGTAGACTATTTATGTTCTTTACAAACATTTTTTATCAACATTATTATTCATTGAAAAAAATATATACATTTAGTATATAGCTAACACTTTTTTACGTCCAAAAACAATATTAAGAAAATAAAATATTTATACTTATTCATAATAAAATGACTATTTGATATAATTAAACCATATTTTAAATTTTAAAATAAAAAGTATTATTTACCATTCATGTAAAATGTTTTTTATTTACTAAATCTGTACATAAAAGAACAAAGAACCAGGCCAGGGTGTAGTGCCATTTTAAGACCCTATTTAAACAAGCTAAAGAATTTACTTTATAAGAGGTATACTAACAACTTCAGTAGTAGAATCTGGGTGTTCAGCTGAGACATGTTCTGTTAGCACCACTTCTGTAAGACCCATACGTCCACAAAAAGGACATGTGAATGCTTGTGGCTGATCAGATGCCAATGATTCACCACCATAGTACAACTCAAAGTCAGCACGTGTTAAAATACACTGCATTGGGTGATCAACTGAATGGCGTGGTGTAGTTGCGCCTGCTTCGTAACAGTTCGCACATAGATCATAGTCATAGCATTTTAAACATTTGAAACGGCGTCCTTTAAAGTTTCCTCTCATACATGCATCACAGCTAACACCTGTAATAAAAACACATAATTTCATATAAATGGTACGTAATTACTATTTTAGACATAATATTAAAAAATTAAAATTATTTTATTTAAAAGAAATATTTTTCTAGGGTTTCTAGGATGTTCTAGGATCAGTTAAATTAATGTTTAATGACAGCTGTCAAGCAAAACTTATGCAATCTATATTTGTTGCTAGCATTCTAAACTTCAACTTCTTAATTTGTTAGTATAATAACCACGTGAGTCATTTATTGACATTATTTTGTT